GTGGGGAGCAGCAGAGGAACAGATGCCCGTGGTGACAGAGTGGGAGCCGTGCCGCTTTCCTGAAGAGAAGGAGGGAATGACGGTGTTTGTCATGCAAGTGCTCGGGTTGGACCCAGTGGGCTCAGTGGGCTGGTTGGTTCCTGTAGCAGGTGCAGCAGGTGCAGCAGCAGACACGGCAGCAGGCATAGCAGGTGCAGCAGCAGGTGCAGCAGGCGCAGCAGGTGCAGCAGCAGGTACAGCAGACGTAGCAGCAGGCGCAGCAGCAGGGATAGCAGCAGACGCAGCAGGTGCAGCAGCAGGCACAGCAGGAGACGCAGCAGGCACAGCAGGAGACGCAGCAGGTGCAGCAGGCGTAGCAGCAGGCGTAGCAGCAGGCGCAGCAACAGGTGCAGCAGATGTAGCAGCAGGCATAGCAGCAGGGATAGCAGCAGGTGCAGCAGCAGGGATAGCAGCAGATGCAGCAGGTGCAGCAGTAGACGCAGCAGGTGCAGCAGGCGCAGCAGATGTAGCAGCAGGCACAGCAGCAGATGCAGCAGGTGCAGCAGGCGCAGCAGCAGGCACAGCAGATGTAGCAGCTGGCGCAGCAGCAGGCGTAGCAGCAGACACAGCAGGTGCAGGAGACATAGCAGCAGGTGTAGCAGACATAGCAGCAGGTGCAGCAGACATAGCAGCAGGTGTAGGAGCAGGTGCAGCAGCAGACACGGCAGGTGCAGCAGCAGGTGCGGCAGGTGTAGCAGCAGGCACAGCAGCAGGCGTAGCAGCAGACACAGCAGGTGCAGCAGACATAGCAGCAGGTGTAGGAGCAGGTGCAGCAGCAGACACAGTAGGTGCAGCAGCAGGCGCAGCAGCAGTATGTATGCTGCGGGATACAGTCGTGACACAGAAATGCGGTGCGTGCTGTTCCCCGGCCTCCAGCTCAGCACCCAGGCCACTCTGGCAGACTTCCAGCTCCTCCACCAGTCAGCTCTGCACACGTGTGACGCTGTTGGGGCCTCTCACCTCCTGAGCCTCCGTTCCCTCCTTTGTAAAATCAGTCAAAATGCCAACATCTCAGTGTTAATTTCTGAACAGGAGAAAAAACTCCATAAAGTATCCCAGAGCGGTGTCTGCCACACGGCAGGCAAACAGTAAACGTTAGGCATCGTTGTTCTTTTGCTCAAATAGTCGTAATAACAATGATAATCATGTTTCTACCATATAATTATATAAACATAACAGTCATTATTATTATAATATTATTATTATTATCAGTGGGAAAATATGTCTCTGTCCAGCTTCTCCTTAAATTGGCAAAGGCAAATACCAATGGGGTTTTTTTTCCAAAAAGATGGGAATTCAGTTACGGCCAATGCAATACACCTGTAGGTTGTATTCCTACCCAGTTGTAGGTGTGGGCTTCTCTAGTGAGACGTGGACCCCTGGGAGGAGAAGCTTCCCTTAGGGCAGGTAAGAGTCCCTAAACTACAGAGTTACTTCCACTGACGGCCGAATCTGCAGAAGTGTTTCAGTGCATTTGACCTTGACTGTGCCATTCCCATCTTTTATGTCTAGGGCACAGCCAGGCCACCAGCAGTCCTTCCTCGGGGAGGATGGTTTCCCACGTTTCTTCTCCGGTCTCCTCAGAGGCTGTGGTGGTTAGAGTGTTCTGTGGGAGCCAGTGCAGGAAACAGGGGTGACAGGAGCAGGACAGCAGTCAGGCTCCATGCGCAGGCTCAGTGTCTTCTGGTGTTGAGGGGGAGTCGCCCAGTCCAGCGGGAGTGGTGCCACGCTGGTGTGCGGTGTCATCGGGAGAAGGGACACTGCAGCACCTGCCCTGGCCAATGGCGATCATGTCATTACCGTTTAACGAGGCCCCAACATCCGCTCTCGCTAAGGTCTCAAGACTGGTCAAGTTGGCATTGTGGCCTGCTGAGCTGCAACTTGATAAGAAGAGCAGAGCGAGAATCTCAGAGCTGGGATGGACATCAGAGGCGCCCTCATTCACGAGTGAGGACATCGGGGCCCAGAGTTACGGGGAGGTCACTCCGCCCAGGACGGCGCTGGCCCCGCATGCAGCGTATAAGGGGGAATCAGGCCTCACCTCTTCATGCTACACTCTTGCTTCCTGCCTGTCCTCTGCTTTCTCTGGTTTTCCATGATCCCCTTTGGAAATCTGTCTTCCCTGCTTTGTACTTTTAAAAATTCCTGTTAATGGTGATTTCAGTGAGTTCTTCCCTATTGGAAAGGGTCTGAAAGAAGTTTCTCCCCTGAAAGAAATGGTACTAACAGTTCGGGGACCTTTTTTCAGCCTGCCTCCCACTTGCCTTTAATAAGCTGCAATTCCTCTGCTTAAGTGTCTAAAACCCAGAATTTCAAGGGTAGGTGGTATTTGGGAGTGGAGTGTGGGTCTCCTTTGGAGAGAGAAGGTGTTCCTCTATAAGAATTCATTTTTGAGGGACGCCTGGGTGGCTCAGTCGTAAAGCATCTGCCTTCGGCTCACGTCATGATCCCAGGGTCCTGGGATCGAGTCCTGCATCGGGCTCCCTGCTCAGCAGGGAGCCTGCTTCTCCCTCTGCCTGCCGTTCCCCCCTGCTTGTGCACATGCACTCTGTCTCTCTCTGTGGCAAATAAATAAAAATTAAAATCTATTTAAAAAAAGAATTCGTTTTTGAGGGATATTACTTCAAAGCAAAAATAGTTTAATTTTTTTCTGATATTAAAAATGACAAATTTTTAAATTTTAAAAATGACAGGTATTATGCAGGAGAGCCAAGCCATAGGGATATGCAACCTCTTGTTAATGTTTTGCGGGATGACCTCCTGCCTTTGAGCCTAAACACACACATATCAAGGGCTCCTAGCGTACCCATTTTCTCTCACTTAACGGTGTCTGGTGGAGGGTCTTCCTGCAAACGACAACAGTGCGGAAGCACTGTCCTTTCCAACGTGTGCACGTGAAGGAGTCTGCACACCTTCTTCTCTTGGTGAAGATGTAGATTGTTTTTAGATTTTGCTAAACCATCTTTTATTGAACATCTGTGTACGTTTTTGCTCACCTGACCAGTTGACCTCTTGGCATGTGTTTCTAGAAGTAGACTTATTGGATCTAAGGGCGTACCCGTTGAAAAGCTGCCCCACACGCACGGCCACCAGCAGGGTCCCAAAGCCAATCCGCTAGGGAGCAGGCGCCTCCCCCGGTGCACCTTTGCATTTCCCGTAGCCCTAGGAAGGGGGTCTATGCTATTTCACAGACATTTGTCTGATTCAGCAATTCGTAATGCTTTCCCAGGACAGGAATAATTGGACTGTTTTCGACATACCAGGAGGAAGTTGAAGCACTCTCTGTTTCATGAATAAAGACGCTCAGTGAATCCAGCCGCTCTTTTCCAAAAGCAACAAGCAGAGATTTTAACCCGGGCACGGCCTCCTGTTCAGACCTTGCCTGGGGCTGAGCACCGTGTATCAGGTTCCATTTTAAGCACTGCCTCTTCGGGAGGATATGAAGGAGCTGGGTACCGTCCAGAGTTCGACCACAGAAGGACGATAGTTAGGAAGGCAGCCTGGTGGAAGGCGTGCGAGGGGCCAGGGTTATTTAGCCCGGGGCACAGGCTTGGGGGCGGAGGGGAGATAACTGGGCTCCAGCAGATGGAGGAAAATTGTGTAAATGACCCTTCATCTGGCAGGAGGAAGGAGTGGGTTGGATGCACAGAGGGTGGTTAGTCATTCACAAAGGGCTTCTTGGATTCGGAGCTGAGTTGTTTCACATCCTAGAGAGTTTATGTGGGTATAAATCCTTCTGATTTCTTTGGAACAGTGTTCTGCTTGGAAACTGAACTTGGTAGATCTTCAGTTTGGGGTTGCTGTTCTGTTCCGTTCTCAGTGACGTCTTTCCAATTTGCGTATAGAACATAGGTTGTGTGAGCTAGTCACAAAAGGAAGGAGGCAAATCTGAACAGAAAGACGGCTGTAGTGGACAGACCTGGTGCTGGAGAAGCCGGCTCTGTCATCTACTAGCCCCCGATTTCGAGGAGGCTGTTGCAGACACTCGGTGTCTGTGACATATAAGGTAAGGTGATGTCTACCGTGCAGGATTCCTGAGAGGGGTGCCTGACGCCACCTGGGGCCAGTGCAGAAGTGCTTAGTACAGTGCCAGGCAGGTAGCAGGTGTTTGGCAAATACTGGCTTTCCTTGCCCTTCCCTTCTAACCCTGCTGTTAGCATGAGGGCCAGTGAGTGTTAGGAGCAGCAGGCTCCTAGGTGTCCATGGGACGAGAGGTCAGCGTGCACTAGTGGGAGGAGAGGGGGCTTCACATTTGGACAGTCCTGCTGACTCTTGTGTGTTCTCAGTCATGGCTTCCAAGCCCGAGTGCCTCAGTCCCAGAGTCCAACAGGAAACCGTGATGTGATTGGTTTTTGCCACAAGCAGATTCCTTCTCGACACAAGTTTCTTTTAGAGAGTAGCTCAGAGGGGATTTTCTTTTTAAGTTTTGAGAAGTTTCCCTGGCTAGGGAAACGTTGGGAGTACAGTGAGATCGTGGACAAGCCACATTCCTTTATCCAGCCGCTGCTCACGTGGTGCGACAGCGGGGCATCTGGACGGTTCCCATACCCCGGAGCCCCCGTGCAGGGGTGTGGGTCCAGGGGATGCGGGAGGGTCAGCAGGATGGGGGACAGAGGAGGGAGACCACCATCTCAGCTCTGGGCAGGACCCGAGAGAGGGCTGTGAGTTAGCCCCTGCCCCAGAAGCGGCCAAGCCGGGGCGCTCATGGCTGCTGGCCAGTGACGAACCGGTGTGGACTGAGTGGCATGTGGCCACAGCCGGGCTAGGGGTGGACGTGGGGGCAAGGAAGCAGAGGAGACCAGTCAGGAACGGAACTCAGAACCTCTCCGTAGGTCAGTGCTCTTGGCCGTGGACTTTACAAAGGAAACTGGGTAATGCTGGTCAGCACCTGCTAGTTCAAACTACAGAATTTTCTAGTCATGGCTCTGATCTCTGTGGCGTTTCTTCCTTCTTCTCCTCAGCCACCTGACAGTGGGCCGCCACCGCTACCGACGTCATCTCTCCCGGAAGGTTACTACGAGGAAGCCGTGCCGCTGAGCCCTGGGAAAGCTCCAGAGTACATCACGTCAAGTAAGTGTCGGGTCTGCCTGGCCCCCACTGGCCTCTTGAAGTGCGGGACTGTGTGGAGGGGAATCGGGGTGGTGCCAAACACCGGGGATGTGTGGAGCTCGGGCAGTGCTGACCCTGAAGGGGTGAACAGAGAAGGGGCTCCGAAAGCCCGCAGTGCCTTTGGAAACTCAGATGGTTGTCTTTCTCTGACACACCGGGTGAGACCTTGTTGCTGTGGGTTGTGGGCCTCAGTGAAATGTGTCCCCTTTGGTCACAAGGCAGAGACTTGTGTGGCATGTGTCTGTGGTGCCCCTTGCCTAGGGTGTGGTCCCCCAATGCTGCTTTCCTTGTGCCAAGGAGGCTGAAGGAGGGTACAAAACCGGCCCGTCTGTCTCCTCTTGCTTTCATATGGGTTCTCCTAGAACCTTCCTGCCGAGCTAGAGTTGTCCTGGCCCGGCTTTGGTCTTCCCTCACAAGCACCTCTGCGGTTTGGTTTTGGATCACCGGCTTCATTCCTCCCTCAATGCTCTGTCAGGCGGGGAGCTGTGTCTCCAAATGCAGTGGAGGGAGGGTGTCGGAGTCCCTGTGGACGAGGGAACCTTGCTCTTCTCATAAAAGATAAAACGGAAAGTCGGGGATTGGTCGTTTTAGGCACGAGGCTTCGGGCACATTAATATTCATGGCACGTGGTGGCCCATCATGTGTCTTCTGATGGAAGTGCACGCCAGCTCCCAGGGCTGTCCTCCTGTTGCCTGCTGTCTCTGCCTCTGTCTTCCCCGGCAGCTGACGGGTGTGTCCCCAGAGGGCCTCCCTGCCAATGCTTTCTGCAGGCAAGCGGGACGGGCTCCCCTCGACAACAGGGGCCTGTTTGCTCAGCCTCCGAAGCAGTCGCATTTGGAGAAGGAAAGGGACAGTTCTGGTACAGGGGTTAGGACGTGCTGGGTTTCAAGGTCTTGAAGTCAAGTGTTTTAGTGTCTCTGTTATTTAAAAACCATCCATGGAAAATGCACTCAGGCAATTTCTAAGTGGCCACCATTTCCAGAAGTCAGGGGATTAATAAGAAAACACAAAACCTGAAGTGGCTCGGTGTAATTCAGAACCTCACTGGCTTCCTTTCCTTCTCAGCAGCGAGTCTGGGAAAACAAGCTTTTCCACGAGGGTATTTCCCAGCACCGGGGCTGTCCGGCTCTAGCCTGCTCCCACTGTCTTTCCGCTCCCACCCACATACTTGCAATGCTACAGACTGAGAGTAATTTCCTTTGACTTGGGGGCCAGAGGCCATTTTCAGTCTGAGAAGCCTCACCTTGGTGATGTGTTCTGTCCTGTTCTTCAGAGAAGCCACCCCGTAGTTGCCGACAGGTGGGCAGCTTTTGTTGAACCAAGTCCAGAGGAAAGTGTAACGGAAGACTGCAGGCTCGGGGCAGCGAGTCAGCGGGGACCGCACGCCGAGGCTCCCTCAGTCAGACATCTGTGGGTGAGCAGTGGGCGGTGAGGGCCTCGCCGTCCTCCCGAGGAACAATGCCGGGAGCTGACTTCCAGATGGGTTACTCAGGGCCTCGGCAACAGCTCTGTTGAACCCTGTATCAGGTGTGGTTCTAGCAGAGGAATGAAGGGTCCATGATAAGAAGACCTAATGCAGCCGTGGAAACCGGTGGAGAAGCCTGTGGAGCAGGGCTGGCTGTTGTGGGGAGACGCAGAGCCTCGGTAGAGCTGCACGTGCCTGGCCGGGCCTCAGATGCCGGGGGGGGTGGTGCAGGGGGTACCTGCAGGGGCTGCGGGCCCAGCAGAGGGCCGGCCACCAAGCGACGGCAGGTGTGAGCTGCAGGAGCGCCTGGCACCCGCGCCAACCTTCAGCACGTACTGGCGGCCGCTTCCCTCCCGCCTTCAGATTGCTCACAGATCTCTCCTGTGGCCAGCCCTAACCCAGAACCATCCAAGGAAGGGAATTTGGGGAAATGTAATTCCAGCCGTGCCAAGTTGCTCCGGTGTAAAGCCTCCACCGTTTCTCCTGTGTCCATTTGGCGGCCGAGTGCGCCTCTCTTAACTGCACTGAATTTCCGAGTAAAGACGAGCAGAATCACAGCGCAGGTTAACGTGATTCTGCTCTCATCTGTATCATGGAAAACCCCCTAACTGCCCCAGGGGATACGAAGTCCCTTTATCAACTTTGGGGTGACACCATTCTCTTCCAGCGGAGCCCTACTCTCCCCTTGGAGAGCCTGTAGCTTCAACGTGGAGATCCACAGCCAGTTGCAGTTGGGTGGTAGGGAATGGGAGCGGGGAGGAGGGGAACTTGTTTATACACACGCAGATAACGGAAGGTGCGTAACGAGTCCCATCCTCATTGCTACAACCAGCCAATGGTCATATCGTGTATTGACAACTTCATGCTCCCATTGCCCTCGGCAAGCACCTTGGTCGATCACCAGGTGAGATGGCTCATCTTTCCTTCCTGAAAGGTCTGGCTGCATTGGATGGTTCACTCATGGGGCATGGGAGTACTGAGAGCCACCCCAGGGACCTCCTCCTCCCCACTGGTGTGACCGTGACTGATCACCGCAGCCGTTGCCGTTAACCCCTTCTTTGCCTGTTGACCCCGCTCCCGAGTTAATGGAGTGATGACCATGTCCTTTGGAGGGAATGTTCTGCCCTTACAAACTAAGACTTGGGGGCCTGAGGCAGAAATTTTGTCAGTGGGTCCCTGGGCTAACAGTGAGAGGAGTCACTACCATTTTCAGCCCTGGGTTCCCAGACCTGTGAGCCCCGATCTAGGGGAAAGAGCCCCACTGGGGCAGAGCAGATACTGCTAGAAGGTATTCTGGAAGATAGACCCCAGTCTCCCAGGGGTGGCCAGTCAAGCTGGTCCTGGAACTGAATATTCAAAAGGCATTCCACTGGTCTGTTGGGTCAGCTGCTTCCGGTGATGGGGACATGGCAAGACCTGTAACTCTCATGAGCACGACCCAGAGCGTGGACTTCATTTGCTGTAAAGTGAGTTCTCCGATCAGAAGCCATGCTGTGGGATCCCACGCTGGCGAATGGGCATTCTGCAAGACTGTGGATGGTGCTTTTGGCAGGAGCATTATGACAGGGATGGTGATGCCCTGCTGCCCCTCCCATGACGGAGGTGGTGCAGTTACTAGGTGGCGGGCTGACACCCCAGGGGACAATGTCGTGTGCAGGCAGGACACTGAGAAGGGCCAGGAGTCAGACTAGTTCTGCAGTCCCTGCTTGCTGCCAGTTCCCGCCCATCTTGACCATCCAGCCAAACCGTCGGGCCATGTGGAGGAGTCTGTGCTGGGAGAAGGAGCCCATGTAGCAGGCACGGGGGCACATGCACTTGAACCACTAGCTCGCACCTGTTACTTACAGCGTATGGGCCCGACGGATGCAGACTGCTTAGATGCTCTGCGGTGGGCCAGGTGACCGAGGGTCCGCGTTGGGCAGCTGAGGCGCCCATGACCAAGCATGTAGACGCTGCTGGGTGTCAGAGAGCCAAAAGCGGTTTCTAAGGGTAAAATAATTGTTTCCGGAGGTTTATGTAACCGTGCTCTGAAATCCTGAAGCTCTGTGCTGAGCTTCCCCCGAGGAGCCTGCTGCCCTGGGCTTCCGATACCGTCGAGAACAGGGTGTGATCGGAGATGCGGAGCCACTGTGACGTGGAACAGAAGATTTGTTCTAGGGGCTGGACCTCACGCAGTCATGGCAGCTGTTGGAGGCTGAGGGAGCTGCATCCGCGAGGACAAACTGCACCCCGTCTGTCCGTGACCCCCTCAAACACACACGCACACACATGCACACACACGCACGCACACCCGGCGACACAGAAGATGCTGGTGCTCTCGGCTGTGGTCCAGGTGCCTGTGGGGATCTGCGCCGCCCAAGGAGGGGGCCCAGCGGCAGGGTGGCCGATGCACCACAACACATGCCTGAGCCCCAGCAGCACCCGGCGCCCCCCAGAGACCTTCGGGTGTGGCAGCTGCCACTGTCCAGTCTCTCCCTCCGCGGCGCTACCTGCTGCTGACCTCAGCTGGCCACACCAGCCAGGGAATTCTGGGCAGCCACTTCCAGCCAGGCTGGGTCGGCGGCACCGTCACTGCAGATCTTGTTGGGGCTTTGGGTTCCAACCTACATTTTGTGTTATTTTCAGTTTTCTGATTGCCCTCTCTCCTCAGCCTCTCCCTCCTCAAGGTCAATTGGCTGAAATGCAAGTTGTAATTTCGTGGGGAAGGGTATATGTCTAAAATACACATTGTAGCGTTTTATAGTTGAAAGTCATCATTTACTGGAATGTTCTTCAGTTTCATCAGAACTGCCCGCAGAAAAGTGTCTGGCGTGAAGAACGTTTCCTAACCAGCAACATCCCATAAACACACAGATCCACACAGATCTCTTGCTGGCTCTTTGCTTTGCCTCCTTGTTTGTAGGAAGTGTAGCCATCTACACGGGATGCTAGGACATACCAGGGGCTCTGTCAGCCGTCCTTCTCCTCCTCGGGGGAGATGTTCCAGGACCCCCGGTGGATGCCAGAAGCTGTGCACAGTGCCCAACCCCTGTGTGCCGTGTTTCTCCCTATTCACACGCCTTGTGATGAAGTAGAATTTCTAAGTGAGGTACAGGAGGATATGGGCCATAGTAGAACACGTGTAACAATGCACTGTCACAAAAGTAGCACAGTCGAGGGACGAACTGGTGTCCTCGCTCGCTCAGAACGTCTTACTGTCCTGCACTCACCCTTCTTCCTGCGATGACGTAACATGGTAAAGGGCCTGCTTGAGGAGATGCCGGGGCTGAGTGGCGTGGGCGTGTGACGCAATGTCAGGGTACCGCTGACGTCCTGATGTTACGTTAGCAGGAGGATCTCCTGTTTCTGGACACCCGTTGACTGCAAGTAACTGAATCCGTGGAAAGTGGAACCGCGGATAAGGCAGGACCACCGTACTGACGCGCGCTCGTCTCTGGCTGAGAGGACCCTCGAGAGTGCGGGTGTCAAAGGCCTTTGTGAAGGCGAAGCAGGCCTGGTCTTTTCACAACTTTGTCGGTGGCCCCTGGCATCGAAGTATGGCTGGCCCTGGAGCACCATGGGGTCAGGGGCACTGACGCCCCGCACAGTCAGAAATCCGTGTGTCACTTGGACTCTGCAAAATCCTAGCTACTAATTGCGTCCTGCCGACTGGAAGCTTACTGCTGACACAGACAGTCCGTTGACACATCCTTATATGTCCTGTGTATCCTGCACTGTGTTCTTACAGTAAAACAAACTAGAGAAACGAAAATGTTATTAAGGCAGTTAAATATGGTCCTGTATTTATTGAAAAGAAATCTGCTTCTAAGTGGACCCATGCAGTTCAAACCTGTGTTCCAGGCCAGCTGTGTAAGCGTGAAAAAGATTGCCCAATGCATAGTAAGCCCTCAATAAATACGTGCTGAATGAATGAGGTCAAAGCTACTTCTCCCATTTACAACTGTTTGTTAATGCTTTTGCTCATCTGTTCGCTAAATGTTTACTGGATTCAATGTTGTAGAAAGTAAGCTAAGCACCGAGGGATTCATGGTCCTTCAAAACCTTCCTAAAATGAAAATCTGAGTTTGTGCGTCGCCCATCTGAGACCTTAGATGGGTCTCCCAGCAGCATGCGCTCTTGAATTCTGGCCACCCGCCTCTTCCCACCATGTGAGCTACATTCCAGCCATGCTAAACTTTTAAAACCCTTTTATTGTGAAACATAATGTATTTACCAAAAAGTACTCAAAATATGAACATAGACTTACTAACTTATAACATGGAGTATCTATGTAAGCACCATCTGGTCAGGAATAGAAAACATCGGCCCTGGAAGCCCCCCGTGGGCTGCTTCCTTGTCACAGTCCCCTCCCCACAGATGTAACCACTAACTTAGCATCTGTGGCAAGCACCAAAATGCTACTGGAAAATGAAAAGATCCACTGTGTTCTCTAAATGTTTGATATTTTTCAGTGCTTTTGCTCATTGTGTTCCTTCTAGACTTTACTGTCTGGTTGGCAATGACTCACGAAAGATCTAGATCAAGTGTTATCTGGAGTGTTCCCTGTCCCACGTGTGCTGTCCCCTGCAGCCCATTTCCCATGGCCTACACCGCACTCCCTGGTACGTGTCGGCGCCTCCAGCACAGCCTGGGAGAGCTTCTCCAGCGGCTGAGAGGTTCCCTGACTGTGCCCTCAGCGTCACATCCACTTAGCCAACCAGTGAGCGCTGGGCGCTAAAGGTGTGGTTCCTGCCATCAGAGAACTGAACAGATCGTTTTATCTGACTTTAATTAGAACTGACTTTAAGTAGCCCGTAAAACGGGGTGGTGGTGGTGTGTGCGTGTGCGGGTGGGGGGATGTGGGCTCAAGGGGAAAGGCCTGACTGCGGGTGGTCGGCTGTGTATCGGCACACATGCAGGAACGGACGGTTCTGTCTCGTGCACTGTCCATGGCAGTCCGGGCCGGGCCCTTCCCAGGCCTGGAGTTGGCCCCCCACACGGTCTTCTGGGCATGTCCTGGGCAGCACTCTGCAGGGACCTCCTGGCCACCAGCCCACCCTCCGGGGCTCCGCCCGTTCGCAGTGCTGTCTGTCCACTTCGGCTCTTGCTGAAAACCCATCCCTGACTGCTTCGTCATGATTGAAAACTCAACCTGAACCCTAGTCCTCTGTCCCCCCTCTTTAGTTAATGATTCTTCCTGACGTCATTGAAATGTAGGCATGACTACTGAGTACGGATCATACTCCAGTTCCCAGGGAGTGAGAAAGGTGAATTCCGTTCTGCGTGAGGTCTGCCGTTGCTGCACGTCTACTCTGTTGTGTAGCCGGCAGCTTCAGCCGGGCTTTCTCCTTCTCGGTCACGCATCACGTAGGTCTTCATCGCTCAACCCCGTCTTGAGAAGTGAGTGTATTCCTGATGCGACTGGGGGTTGAGGAGGATGCAGAGATGAGTCAGACCCCATCTCAAGGAGCGTATCATCCAACAGAGATGAAATTAATAATCATGGGCAGCCCCTGGTGTTGATGGAACGTCATGACTGTGCCAGCCATCAGCCAGAGTGCTTTGCAGGTAGAGCCGAGGTTCACCGAGCAGCCCGCCCTCCCGCAAGTCTTTGTTCTTGCCGCGCGCCGGGTCCGTTGTTAGGGGCTGGGATGGTCCCCCTTCCTCGGGGGGCTTCCGGCCCGATGTGGGAGGCACACAGACACATGGCCATGACAGTACAGTGGGGCAGGCTGTGTTGGGTGGTGTGGAAGCAGAGATGAGTGGCATTTCATCCTGTGCCTTGGCACAGGCTGCCGTAGCAAAGCGCCACAGACTGGGTGGCAAAACACCAGACCCTTCCTTGCCGTTTTGGAGGCTGGACATCCACGAGCTGGGTACCGCCCGGTCGGGTTGTGGCTAGGGCCTCTTCCTGGCTCACACACAGCCACCTTCTCCCCGTGTCCTCACGTGGTGGACAGAGAGCAGCATCTCTCTCTCCCCTCTTCCCATAAAGACACCGGTCCTATTGAATTAGGACCCCACTCATATAACCTCACTTAACCATCGTTACCTGCTAGAAGTCCTGTCTCCAAATACAGTCTCACTGGGGTGAATTAGCGGGGACACAAGTCCACAGCCACCAGCTTTGGTGATTCAAGGAGGGCGTCGTGGAGGCGGTGTCCGTAAATTGAACCCTGATAGGCAAGAGCACTTATTCAGGCAAAGGCAGGAAGTTAAGTGGGATGAGCAGGAAGCCTGTGTGGGAGGGCAGCATGTGCAGAGCCCCAGCAGTGAGAGAGAATGTGCTGCATTCGGGAGACTGGAGACAGTCTGATATGAATTGTGCCCACCTTGTAGAAAGAGAAGGAGGGTGTAAATGTCTCTCTGGCACCCCTGAGAGGGAGGCCTTGGGCTGGGTCTGGAACGTTAGTGAGGGCCTGCATAGGCCGACGCACGCAGGCAGGACCTTGCAGACCTGAGAGGACCTTGAGCTAGAGGTGTGGCATGGGAAAGCTGTGCCCTGCGGCGGCGGCCCATTAGCTGGGGTCCCCTCAGCTGGCCGTGGCACGGCCAGGTTCCGATGATGTGGGGTCTGCAGACAGCCCAGCGTTCACCAAACAGTCGAGGACTGGTTCTCACAGAGAAAATTCTAAGACGCTTCAGTTTAGAACTTGGTGTTACTTTGAACTGCCTATTGTGGTTATTTTTCCCCAGTTTTTACTAATTACTGTTTCCCCGGCACGCCGAACGCAGAGGCCCCCTCCTGGTACAACGAACGCACTCCTGAGCACACAGGTAGGCGTCCGGGTCAGGTGTGCGTAGGCGGGCCCGTTACCTTTACGTCTTTCCCTACTTCTGACAGATTATGACTCGGATGCGATGAGCAGCTCCTACGAGTCGTACGATGAGGAAGAGGAGGACGGAAAGGGCAAGAAGACGCGGCACCAGTGGCCGTCCGAGGAGGCCTCCATGGACCTGGTGAAGGACGCCAAGATCTGTGCCTTCCTGCTGAGGAAGAAGCGCTTTGGGCAGTGGAGCAAGCTACTGTGTGTCGTCAAGGACACCAAACTGCTGGTAACGCACGGGGGGTGGGTTGTGCTCGTGTGGTCGGTGGGGCCTGCCGGCAGCCTCATGGGTGGGACCGACCCTCAGGCAGGGCGGGCATCAGCTGGTGGGAAGGGGAGGCGCTCCGGCCTCCGCGCAGCCTGACACGGAGCTCCCCGCGGCCAGGCGCCCGGGCAGTGAGTGCGGGTGCTCACTGAACCTTGAACGCCCTTGGTTTCAAAAGTCCCTGCAGTGACCAGCAGGCAGAGTCCTCCCCATCCCGGGCCAGTGTCTGCGGCGGTGGTGGAAATGCACAGGCTTTAACTTGCCAGAAGTCGCAGGATGGATTTTCTCATTTGTAGTGAGTCAGTGAATTCCTCAAAGCCAGGTCATCGAGTGGGGCGGGCAGGCCAGCCGCGGTTGGGGAGAAGAGTGTCCAGGAAAGGAAATTCTTTTGGAAAGCTAGAGGCAGATTCTTTTTTTGTTTAATCCGAGGGGCTGAATAGGAAGATGGACAAAGTAGCAGAGCCACGGGGCACAGGGACAGGCAGGCCTTCTGCTGTGCTGTCCTTCCCACAGGGGACCCCGTTAGGAAGCCAGAGCCCTTGAGCATGTGTGATGCCCCCTCCCCCCTCCTCCTTCAGGCCTGCCTGCTTTAGAAACCCTGGTTGATTATTGGGATGTTGAATTTCAGAGTGCATTTCTGCATGTTGTTTTTCCTTCAAGCTAACTTTGGGGGGAAAATCATGGAATAATATCATTAAAACAGACCCAGGAGTTTGTGATTCTGCGTATCCCTCTTGAGTGGAGCAGGTAACCCTATTCTTTCATCTGTGAATTATGGGAATGTTCTTTTACTAGAGTCTTAGGATGTTTTAAATTAATGGTTTTCAAAAAAAAATTTTTAAACAGTGAGAATACATATTTTTTCCACATGTGTGGCCTGAAAAATCTCCCAAATTTAGAATATTCCAAAAAAATGATGCCATGGGAGAATTTTAAAGTAAAGAATGAGAAAAAAAAGATGAAAAGGACTAATGTGGTCCTTATTTACAGTCCGACATAATGGCTGCAAGATGTGGGTGTATCATGGAAATGCTGTAACAACCTACAGTGGGCTCTCAGGTACAAGAGGAGTTCTGGAACAGGGCAGGAAACCTGTGGGTTTGTGGTGGGATCAGCGTCCCCCCCTCCCCCACAGTCCTCCTCCACCCTCTCCCCGCCCCACCCCTCATTCCTTCCATCTCGTTCCAGATTTCTGGGATATCTGTCTTCAAAACCCAGGTGAAAACACCTACTATTTAGAGTAGTGGTAAACATTTCAGAAGAAATTAATGGAAAACCATGTGAAAATACCGTCTTTGATAAAATGCAGAATCAAAGTTAATTATTTTTATTATGAAGCTTTTTTTCTTTCAAAAATCCCCAATGATCCAGTTGCCCAGATAACCCCTGTTAACACTGAGAAAAAATTAACAGTGTTAAAAAAATAAATGCTTTCCAAGTTCGGACAGCACGGAAAACTGTAAACAGAAAACCAAAAGCCAGGCTCTTGCCTGCATGTTCCCAGCCTGTCTTCCCATGGGCACCACCATCCGAGGCTTTTTGGGTACGCGTCTGGTGTCTGTGCCCTTCCAGGCCCAGGCGGTCCTGCGGTGGACACAGTGACGGGCCAGAACCCCCATCAGGACAGTTTGCCCAGGTCACGCTCCCTCCCCGGGGGTCCGCATCAGGACAACCCTGCCAGGGCCTTCCAGCTGCAGAGACGCGTGGGCCCCCCGAGGCCAGCAGCTCAGCTTCCTCACGCCTCTCTCTCCCGCAGGCCTGGCTCTCAGGGCGCACACTGCCCTCCCTGTCTGAGAGTCCACTCCCCTCGGAGTCCGAAAGCAAGGATGTTCAGCCTGCACTTTAGTGTAGGGCTGGTGACAGACCCACTCTGAGGCATTTCCTGTCTTACTCCATCTACTGTACTGTTAGTTTCCTTTTTTTCCTATTCTGTTTTTTTCATGCACTTACTGAGAATCCAAAAAACTGCCAAACAGTGAATGTTCATAGCAATCTGGGGTTAGTTGGTTTTGGTGTGTGTTTTTTCCTTCCATTTCAGACAAGGCTACCATCACTTGGATTTTTGTAAAACGTGGATATGTTCATGTGGCACTCAGGAGCCAAGGTTTTGGGACTTTAAAATAGAGGACTCTCGAAGTCACCTCTGAAAACAGGTGTCTCTTCCTTCCCTCCCTCCTCAGTAGATGGCGCCCAGTGGAGAGAGCCGGCTGTGCGCTCAAACCATCTGGGGCTGGGGGCGACTGCTTTTCACACGTCTGACTTTGGGCAAGCCACATAACCGAGTGAGCCTCAGTTTCCTCATCTGCAAAATGGACAACTGTGGCTATCAAGTGAATGTGTGAAACACCTACGGATGTTGACACTCCGTACTTGGTAGTGGGTGTAACTAATCATTTAGTGTGACTCAATAAAGTCATGATGATCACAGCAATGGTTCATTTTACAAATGAGGAAACAGGCTCAGCAAGCTGGAGAGACTTCCCAGGAGCCAGATTAAATTCGTAGCAGAGCCAGCACCCAGATGTCTGTACCCTCAGACTGTCCATTCCCATGAAGATGTGTGCTTTTGGTCCCAAGTCATAGGATTAGACCCAAGGAGAGAGGGGAGACCTTTGGACAAGATTTGTTCTAGGTTTCACAGATGCAGATGAAGCACTGGTGATATGAACTAAATCTGAGTGTTTGCCATGGCACCGAACTCTTTAGAGGGGACGTCTGCTGTCTAAATGGAGTAGCGTTGAGTTTTGGATCCCATACTCAACTGGAAAGCAAACCTTTGCAGACATGTTGCCTAGGACGTGTTTCTCTGTATTCTCTTGATGAAGCCCTTCATCTGTCTCTCGGAAAGGGGATAGAGATGAGACCAGCAGATACCAAATGACATAGGTTGTAGAAGAAGGCATCCAAATGATTTCCCACGTGAGGGCTGTGCTTTTCGGCAAACCTAATATATCGCATTCATGTGACTTAGTGAGGAAGCTCCGCTGGTCCATGATCCCCATCAGAGGAGGGAGTTTCTGTTTCCTGCTGAGTCATGTCATCGATGCTCAGTAAACTTTGCCGAACTAAAGAGTAGATGTATTTTCACATACGTGGGGGTGACATGTCGTGTGGAGCGTGCCCCGTGTGGGTGACGCGTGTGTGTCTGCAGACGCACCCTCCGGGGTCTTCGAGAGACCTCGGATGCCTCGCAGGTGCTGGCCTTTCCATCCTGCCAGAGCTGTATCCTGTCTCTCCTCGAACTCTCTTCAACCTAACTCTGCTTTCTCGTGTTAAATGCAGTGTTACAAAAGCTCCAAGGACCAGCAGCCCCAGATGGAGCTGCCCCTCCAAGGCTGCAACATCACATACACCCCGAAGGACAGCAAGAAGAAGAAGCACGAGCTGAAAATCACTCAGCAAGGCACGGACCCGCTGGTTCTTGCAGTCCAGAGCAAGGAGCAGGCCGAGCAGTGGCTGAAGGTGAGGCGCTCGCCTGGCCTCTGAGCCCTTTACATGGCCAGGCCTCTCTCCCAGACTTGTGTTTAGTTCAGTTTGTCTGTTTCTCAGGCGTAGGCGGAACTGGATGAACCCCAGCAGTTTTGTCTTTGAGAGCAGAGTGTTCTGATTGCTTTGCAGCTAATCACTCCTGCCCTGGTCTTCAGGAGGCAGTGGGCCTCAAGATTGCAGACTGTTTCACTACTTTCTCTTTTCCTTTGATTCCTTTGATTTTTTTTTTTTTTCCATGTGTCTGGAGGTGGATTCTTTTCTATTTATTCTGCTTGGATTCTGTGGATTGTCATCTTTCTAAGTTTTAGAAAACTAATTTTCAGCCATTTCTCTTAAAAATATAACTTTGTCTCATTCCCCCCCAACTATGTTTAAATATATGTTAGACGTTTTCACTATATTCTATTTATCTTCTCTTTATATCTTAGTATCCCTTTTTTTTTTCTCCCTGATCTGGTTAGTGTTTTCTTGTTAATTTCTGGCCCACTCTTTCTCTTTCTGGCTGTGCCAGATCTGCTGTTAAATTTGTCCGCATTCCCTGGGTTCTGAATGTTGGTTATGGACTTCTAGTATTTCTAGTCATTTCTTTTTCGACCTGGGAATGCCAGTTTTTGCAAATGTTAATTTCCTGTAGAAGTGTTTGTCACTTATCTCCACAACAAGCAGGTAACAGGCTTGGTTGTTGGACTGCGGTTTGGGTGGCGCGAGGACCTGGCCACCTCATCTGTTGATGTTCTTGTTCCTGTCATTTTGTCCTTCCTGCGTGCCGGGTTCTCTGATGATCACGCTGCTCCTTCTACGTGGGGAAAAAAAAATTAATTCGGTAATTTTTATATAACAGCTTTTATTGAAGTAGCAGTCATATACCGTACAGTTCACCCTTTTAAAGTATGATTCAGTGGCGGTGAGTCTATTCACCATAACCTACTTTCAGAGCATCTTCCTCTCCCCGAGGAGAAACACCGTGCTCACCATGTGAGCAGCCCCGCCCCCACCCCCAGCCTCACCCCCAGCCCCAGGCAAGCACTACTTTGTTTTCTGTTCCTATAGAGTTGCCTGTGTTCAACATTTCGTATAAACACGCTGTGTCCTTCTGTGACAAGCCGCTTTGATTTGGCATGTTTCCCAGGTTCATCCGTGTTGTAAAATGCGTCAGTACTTCCTTACTTTTTATCACTTTCAGGCCATAGCTAAGAAACTATTGCTTATTCCGAGGTCCTGAAGAGGTACACCTATGTTTTCTTCTGATCATTTTATAAAGTCAGACCTTAAATTTCGTCTGTGGTCCACTTTGATTTCATCATTGCATGTAGCATGAGACAGGGGTCCAATTTCATTCTTTTTTCTTGCAGGGATCCAGTTGTCCCTGTAGAAATAATTTGATTCCTGGCCCTATGCTTTCCTCTGTGGGAGAGCATTTTCATTTGCCTCTGCCATGCATAGGGAGGGCATTAGCTCTGCAAAATCTGTTTATAATTTCAGGGCTTGAGATTTTTTCAGAGCCACCCAGGTAACTTGAATTCAGCCTGTGATTCATTCAAGGGCAGGTTTATATTCATTGCACTGTTACTCCGAGATCTATTCCTTGGGATTCCCCAGCTGAACCGTGGGGGTTTTGCCAGAGACCTCGTCTTTGGCATGCCATGCACTCCAGCCTCTGACTCCCAGCCCCCTGGAGCCGCAGAGGCGCCGTCTGGTCTCCGGGGGGCCAAAGACATCCCCGCTGCCGGCCTACCTCTCCACATTCCCGTCTTCCCCCGCATTGTGGCCCAGTCATTCCTCACGGCGATCATAGCTCCTTCCTGCTGTAGGAAGAAGCTGTGTCTGTTTTCTCTGGCCTTCCTGACGGTCTTCCTCAGGAAGGTGAGTCCGGACCATCTAGTCCCTCTGCCTGCCGGTACCTGCTTTGGAAAACAGGGTGGGAGGGGTGGGAAGACCCCAGGAGGCCTTCCCTAACAGTGGCTCTATGACGTGCCGGTGTCCGTTCCACCTTGAGCCACACTGCCCTCTGCCCCCCGGGAGGGTAGACCACCCTCACGTCCGTCCGCCGGTCAGAGGCGCACGTGGCTTTTCCCGTGGCTGCCCCAGGAGAGACTGCACAGAGCGTTCGTCTTCTTCGGGGGAGTCCTGTGCCCAGGACCTCCTGCTGCTCCGTGTGCGTGGCTCCCACATACAACTTGAGTACGCTGCACACCCGCCACCTCTGTTAGCGATCTCTGTGAAGCCTCTTCACGTTTCCAAAATGCTTTTCCACCATCGTCACGTCTTGGAGCACCGAATGGCCGCCCGAGGAGGGTGTTGGCGCGAACGGCATCACCGTACAGGCGAGAGGCCGAGTCCCAGGGCGGCGGGTGGCACAGTGGCCGGCGGGTGCCGGAGCCGGGGGTCGACCTCGTATTTTTCCCCTTCGCATTCCGCCTTCCTGTGCCAGGCCGCCTGGCCGCTGGCCATTTTCCCTTCACTCCTACTTGCTTGGTCCCAGCGCTGTCCCTTCAGGAAGGAGGGAAAAAGGACGGAAGAAGTAAGGAGCCTCCACTGTGATTCTGTTTCCTCGGCCTGGCCCCACGCGGGGTGAACTGTGTCCTCCTTCTGCGCTCTTGGGTTTCCCGGCTCCCTGGCAGAGAAGCAAGAAGGGCCGCCCCGAGCCCTGGGCTTCCTCTTTCCCTGTCCCTTCTTCATGACTCACTCCGCATGAGGTGCTGGAAGCATCGCGGGCTTCTCCGGGCTCCCTGGGACGTGGCGCTGAGCTGACCGTGCAGCTCGCAAGTAGACGCTTAGAGAGAAAACGCTTCCAAATGTCAGGCCTTGATGGGACGGAATAGTCTTACGTCCTGTTTCTCGGGATGTGAGACGCACATCAGAGGTGCTCAGCTAATTATACAGTGATGACTCTATGGTCAATGGAAGCTTAATTGCAAGGATGTTTTTTTAAAGCACTTGCTGAGATTTCTTAAAAGGGAAGTAAAGAATACATGGTAAGTTACCTTCTTCTCAAGAGTTTGAATTGATTAATTTTTCGGTTTGATGTTTGTGCTTTGCTCCTGTTATGTGTGTCAGTGTGAGAAGCTAAGTAGTCTTGATTAGAAATGACAGAGACAAAACTAGTTTCAGTCGGTCAGAGAATTTTCTTTCTTTAAAACCAGCAGAGACCGGAGAGGGTCCGGTGTCTTATCGGTATGACTTAGAAACTTAAGAAACATAGACTCCCAGTGACTCAAACTCATGAAGATTCTAAGAATCTTTTCCTTTTCCTTTTTACCCTGTATCTCCTTGTTCAAGACCTCAAATGCTGCAGCTAGAACTGGAACAGGCCTCCCCTACTAACTCTCTCTCCCTCCTCAAAGGTAACTTTTATCCTGAATATTATCATCGAGGTATGCTTTAAAGATACTTTTTTTCACTTATGTATGTACTTATAAATCAGAAGTGTTTTTTTTTTTTTTTTTTATGTTCAAAAACGCCCATGTACATGGCTTCAAACTGCACGTATCCCGCCCCTCGCGTTTTCCACTCACTGTTTTATGCCTGCTCTGGGGTTGATGCCCATCCCCCTTTGCTGTCCTGGAACACTTCAGTGAGCGTTCTCGAAGTGCATGTCCCTTGGTCTCGTGTGTCATGGCTTCTCTGGCATGGCTGACTTTAGTACATGTGCATTTTCAACACGACTAGATCTTGACAAATGGCTTCCCAGGTTTGCTTGTGCCATTATACGTCCTCCAGCAACATACAAGAGCAAGCATTTTGTCTGTGTCCTTTCCGAGATTATATATATATATATATGCAGGCAAAGAGAAATGCAGATTTTAATTACCACCCCCATAGACAAGATGTGGTGTTCTGCCTCTTGCTTTTTACACCTAAACAGAGTGTCTTGCAGATTTTTCCAATTTAGAGAGTGGAGCCTTTCCTTTTGCTTTTTTTTTTTACAGGACATACCATTTCATTGTTTAAATAGACCATAATTTTAAAAATATTCTCTAATTCATGGATATTGGGTTGTTTGCAGACAGCTCTATAACAATCAACTCTGTGCATATATCATCTCACACTTGCTAGTGTGTGGCCTGACTTCCCAGAGAGGCTGTTTGCTTGCATGAAGGTTGTAGGCGCTTGTGATTTTGATACACAGCCACGTCACTCCGCACTGGAGGTCTGCCAGCTCAGCCTCCCACCAGCGACGTGTCCGAGTGCCCTTCCCCCACAGCCTCGCCTGCCGTAGGTCAGCAAGCTGTGGCGAGCTCCCTCTAGTTGAATTTGCATTTCACTTCCTATGGTCTTGAATGAGCTACTTAGCTCCTCTGCGCCTCTGTTTTCTCCTCTGTGCAATGGGAGGGAGGGTCATAATGGTGCCTGCCTCTCTGACTTGTTGTGAGGATAAAATAATAAGAAACATTTAGAAGAGCACCTAGCATGCAGTGAACACATATGTAAGCATAAGCTGCTTCACTGTTGTTGTTTGGTTCTTGTGATCACTACGCTACCGCGTCTAGGTCTAAGTAAACTCACAAGCTCCGGCTGAAAACATTTTGAAAATCAAGATGATAGTGGGATGTGTTAGGGGCCAGAGCTAGGGGTGTCCACATCACGGCCTCGCGCCCTCCTGGACCAGGACCGCAAGGGCACCTGCTGTGTGCCCCCCGGAGGACATCCCCGAACTTGGCTTCCTTGCCCGAAGCCTTTGTATTGTTCCCACACGCCCAGGGCGCCGAGGAAAGGGTTGGCGGGTGGGCGTAGGCTCGTGGTGTCACTGAGGCTCCTTGAAGTTTCAACCATTACACCAGGCTGCGTACGCCCCTAGGATGTGGCTGGTTTGTTCCCCACCCTCTGCGGTGGGTACCCCTGCCTCCCGCCACCTTCCCAGCCAGGAGGCAGCCTGGTCACTTCTTTCCTGCAAAGGGCTCTTCCCTTGTGAGGACATAGCGTGTCCAGGTTTCTTTGCATTCTCATCCTCTGATGAGTGAAAAACTGCTCTG